CCCACCCCACCCCCGCTGCCAATCCTCAACAGAAATGCTCACAACAATGAAAACCTCGGACAGGAGGAAGAGCGCCGCCAGGCGAGCAGGCAGGTATCTTGCTCAGCTGTGCTTTGGGGGGCATTTTTTTCAGTGCCATTGTGACTTCAAACAGTCACTAAGCGAATTGTTGTAAGTCAAGGGCTACCTGTACTTCATCACTTTTTTCCTTTTTGGGGGGGGTCATCAAGTTTTTGACACCTTGCTAGGAGACTGGTGGTACTCGGATATTGCCATATCCTAAAAGTGGTGCAATGGGTTCCTTCCTTCCTTCCTTCTTTCCTTCCTTCCTTCCTTCCTTCCTTCCTTCCTTCCTTCCTTCCTTCCTTCCTTCCTTCCTCTCTCCCACCCTCTTTCTTCCCATTACCTTCCTTCCACTCCTCCCTCTCTCCTTCTTTCCTTCCTTCCTTCCTTCCCCTCTTTCTTCTTCTCCTTTCCCCTTCCTTTTACTTCTTCTTATTCCCTTTCCTTTCCTTTCCTTTCTCTCCCCTTCCTTCTCCTTATTTCTCTTACCCTTCCTTTCCTCACTCCCTTCCTTCTCTTTCTTCATTTTTCCTTCCTTCCTTCTTTCCCTCCCTCCCTTCCTCCCTCTCCCTTTCTTCTTTCTTTCTCTTTCTTTCTTTCTTTCTTTCTTTCTTTCTTTCTTTCTTTCTTTCTTTCTTTCTTTCTGAAACACATGACTTCCTTTCTCATCGTGTGATCAGTCTTTGAACAAGATGTTGACTTCCACACAATTAATCAGCCATTAAGTTTGCATCCTGTTCTTTCTCTAAGCTGTACTTTTGAATGTCCCCAGCCCTACGGTTCCCATATAAACGACAACTCTAATTAAATTGGCAAACAGGCCTTAAGTTCTCTGCTCCTCCTCCTCTTCTCTCTCCTCATGTACAGACAGCCTTTTTCTCAAGAGAATATTTGCCAGCCAATAAATATCTGATCAGCATGGACATCCCATGCAGAAAAAGTAATTTTTGCAATCATTCGCACTGTAATACGAAGGCTGCATTAAGCGTTTGTAAGACCCCTGCTCCCTTGGCTGATTGGCAATTGGAAATTGCCCTCAATGTCTACTTAGTGGCTTATATCAAGGATATCCATCCTTTCCCACCATCTCTCTAGCCTTTAAAGCACAAATTACTAAACACTCCATCAAGTGCAACATTGGTAGAAAATTACTCAGCAAGCATTGCATTCTGACAAATCAGTAACTCAGAAGCGCAACCATCCTGGAGATTTTTAAAGATTCAATGAGTGTCATGGAAACAAGGAAAAGGTTGATTGTATTTAAAATCCGATTTCAAGCAGATTTGGGGCATAACCCAATCGGCACCACATCAACACCAAAACCATTTTGGAAATATCTTTTGTCTTGCTGGTCCCTCAGTGCTGCCTCCATCTCATTCCTATCCCCATAAATGAGACAGGGTCAAGACATTCTCTCCTTTATGTATTGAAGTAGACTTTTTCTTTTTAGTACACCCAAAGCATGTCAAATCTTTTGCGTTTGGTCACTTTGGAGGAAATTCAGTGCCCAAAGACAGAGGCAGTTGGAGCAGGAGAGGAAATCTCCCACAGAATAACAGAGTTGGAAGGATCCTTCTACTCCAGGGGTCTTCAAACTTGGCCCTTTTATGACTTGTGGACTTCAACTCCCAGAATTCCTCAACCAGCGTGCCTGGCTGAGGAATTCTGGGAGTTGAAGTCCACAAGTCATAAAAGGGCCAAGTTTGAAGACCCCTGTTCTAGTCCAACCTCTAGGTAGGAGACCTTATACCATCTTAGAATCAACAACGGGGCAGCACAACTAATGCTGGGGTTGTTTTCTGGCCACTAAATAATCAGTAGAAAGAACTACAGGTAAGCCAGTCCTCGATTTGTGATCACAACTGGGAATTTTGGTCACTAAGCAATGCAGTTATTAAATGAGATATCATAGGACTGACCTGATTTTACAACCATTTTTACTGCTTTTCTTTCTGGAAGATGGGGATCTTTGGAGCCAAATTTGGGGAAATTCAGAGGAAATGAGAGGAGGAAATGAAATTTACTTGTCCAGGAAGACCTGGAGGTGGAATGTAGGACAGCTGATGTCATGACACACTTATTCTCTTGCTTTTGAGAAGATCCAAATTCACCTGAATTAAGTGGATTTCATCAAACTAGCTTCCTTCTCCATCAGACTAGATTCTTCTCCATCAAACTTCTTTTTGAGAAGATCCAAATTCACTTTAATTAAGGGAACCCCATCAAACTAGCTTCCTTCTCTATCAAACTTGCTTTTGAGAAGATCCAAATTCACCTGAATTAGGCAGACTCCCTCAAACTAGCTTCCTTCTCCATTAAACTAGCTTCCTTCTCCATCAAACGGGCTTTTGAGAAGATCCAAGTTCACCTTAATTAAGTGAATCCCATCAAACTAGCTTCCTTCTCCATCAAACTTACTTTTGAGAAGATCCAAGTTCACCTTAATTAAGTGAACCCCATCAAACTAGCTTCCTTCTCCATTAAATTTGCTTTTGAGAAGATCCAAATTCACCTGAATTAGATGGACTCCATCAAACTAGCTTCCCTCCTTCTCCACCAAACTGGTTTTCTTCTCCATCAAACTCGCTTTTGAGAAGATCCAAATTTACCTGAATTAGGTGAACTCCATCAAACTAGCTTCCATCCTTCTCCATCAAACTAGCACAGCTTCTGAGGAATGTCATTCAGGAGTTGACAGATCAGACCCATCCCAACTCATTAGAAATTTAATCTAATAGAAGATTTCTAAGGTTCTGGATATGGTAGACCTCAGGGCAATCTCTGTCTTTTGCCTTCCAGGAAATGAACCTCTCCCATTCTTGAAACATTCTTGAAACACGGGTCAAGAGGTTGACCTTCTGCTTCTCCCCTCCCATCACATTTTAGCCATGTCTGAAGTTGCTCAATATCTCATTAGCCTTGTTCCTGAAGTCCCTGAAAAAAAAAAAGGAGACCCACAAAACACATCGGCTTGCGGTTCTACAGGAAATGTTGGGACATCCAGAAAAATCAACATATTAAATGCATGTGCGTATGTATATATGTATTTCATATATATATACTGTATATCAGTGATGGCGAACCTTTTAGAGACCGAGTGCCCAAACTGCAACCAAAAATCCACTTATGCATCGTCGGGTGCCAGGTAGGTGTGGCCCATTGCCTGGGTGTGGCCCATTGGGTGGTCATGGCTGTGGTGGTAACGCAGACTGGGTGGGACTAAAATCTTCAATCAATCAATTCCAACTTTGCAAGGTCTTTTTTTTCCCTGCGAGAAGTTGAAATTGACTGATTGATTGAACCTTTTTTTTTTTTTTTTTTGCATATGGCGGCGAAGGCCTAAAGCCAAAAGCTTTTATAAAACCCAGCTGAAGGCCTAGGACTGGGGTGACGGTGCACGTGCCCACAGAGAGGGCTCTGAGTGCCGCCTCTGGCACCAGTGCCATAGGTTCGCCACCAGTGCTGTATATGTATGTGCGTATAGGTGTAATCATTAATTTCTGTTTATAAGAAACATTTTCCATTAAAAAAAAATCTATACAATCAGCAGCACTCAGAGGAAAAAAAAAAGACTTCGCTTTTTGTCTGAAATCAAATCTGAAGAGCTTGTTTTCTTTCGCTCGGTGAAATTTCAGCGTCTTTGTTCTTCACGACCTTTTTTTATTTTTATTTTTTTACAAAAAAAAAGAAAGAAAAAGAATCCATTCTCCCCAGGCACGATAATGGAAAAAAAAATAATATCTTGTTTTCTCAGGCACGCTAAGACTCAAGCTCTGCATTTCACACCAATATTGTTAATGAACATTCATAGCTGCTTTTTGCAAAGGAGGCGAAGCCACTGATGGAAAAACACTTTTCTGGTGTTTTTTTTTCCCCCCTACCTATCGGCTGAATCTCTTCCTGGTTTCACCGTGCACTAAGGTGGCTAGAGTTGGCGCCTCTTCTCTCCGTCACTCATAGACTCACAGGCTGGAAGGGACTTCGGAGGTCATCTAGTCCAACCCTCTACTCAAGCAGGAGACCCTTTCCCGCTCTGGACAAACAGTTGTCCAATCTTTTATTTAAAAAAAAAAAATCCAGTGATGGAGCACCCACAACTTCTGGAGGCAAGTTGTTCCGTTGATTAATTGTTCTCACTGTCAGGAAATTTCTCCTTAGTTCTAGGTTGGATCACCCACTGAGGAGCTTCTACTCCTTGCTTCTTACCCTGCTCTCAGGAGCTATGGAGAATAAACTGGCCCTCCTCTTCTCTGTGACAGCCCCCCCCCAAATAAGTGGAAGATGCTCTCATGTCACTTTTAATCCTTCTTTTCATTAGGTTAGCCCAGGGACAGGCAACCTTGGCTCTTTTATGACTCGTGGACTTCAATTCCCAGAATTCCTGAGCCGGCCATACTGAGGGGAAAGGGAGAGGTTTCTAAGCTGAGCCATGCTGGCTCAGGGATTCTGGGAGTTGAAGTCCAAGAGTCATAAAAGAGCCACGGTTGCCTGCCCCTGCACTAGATAGAATAGGGCTCTTCAAACGTGGCCCCCTCATGCCAAGGGGGAGCTGTGCGTGGCTGTTGGGGGGGAGGGAAATGCTTGTTGTACTTTCACTAGAACAGGGGTAGGCAACCTTGGCTCTTTTATGACTCGTGGACTTCAACTCCCAGAATTCCTGAGCCAACATGGGGGAACTATGGCCCCTTCATGGCTTGTGGCCTTCAACTCCCAGAATTCCTGAGCCAGCATAGAGAACTATGGCCCCTTCATGGCTTGTGGACTTCAACTCCCAGAATTCCTGAGCCAGCATGGCTCAGCTTGGAAACCTCTCTCTTTTCCCTCAGCGTGGCTGGCTCAGGAATTCTGGGAGTTGAAGTCCACGAGTCATAAAACAGCCAGGGTTGCCTAACCCTGGGCTAGACATACCTAGTTCCCTTAGCGAGTCATTGCACAATTTAGCCTCCAGATCCCTTATCCTCTTTGTTGCTCTTCTCAGCATTCTTTCTAGGACCTCAGCATCTTTTTTGTTTCTTTTTTCTTTCTTTTCAGCATCTTTTTTTTCCTTCATCCTCCTTGATGTCTTCTTGTTTTCCTTCCAGCATGGGGCATTTTTAGCAACTGTGCTACCATTGCAACGAAGAAGGCAGCTTGCTCTTGGGAAACTTCTGCAGAACTTCTTTTGTCCTTCGACTTGAAGAGATGCAGAGATGTCTCCACCCACAAATCTGGGTGGACTTTCACTGAAAAGTTCTCTAGGCCTCTTTTCCTTGACAGGAGGAAATGGCCACAGAAAGAAGGATCAATGAGAAGAAATGCAGGAACGATGGGAACAGCGTTAAGTGGAACTCATTGTAATTAGCTATTTTCGCTAGACGGTCACAGCAAAGGATGTGATCTTTGGACCTTTCTGTTGCTCCATTCGTTGAAGGCTGATAAGATCTGGCACAACTACAGAAAGACTGCAAAGAGGCAAAGATCGGGACCAACGCACTCCACAAGTGGTACAGCAAAAGTGGCGAAGAGGCAGAAAGTTATGTCTTCCTCACCCGGTGATCCACTGGATCTCAACATCAATCCATGCAATTTTTCCATACTTCAGCTCTGAACTGCCACCTCGGGAAGCTGCTTTTCATTGTAGGAAAATCAATAAGAAAATAAAAAACACAGATTATGCAAAAGAGTTGGTGGTTGTTAGGGTTTTTTTTGGTCAGTGGATCTGCCCAAAACATAAATTTATACAAGTCTCTATAAAGAATTTGCAACCATCGATCAAGAAAATATCTTGATCTCTGAGCACTTTCTTGGGGAGAAGACCAAATCCATTTTCCATTCATTTTGCAAAGCTTTGAAACACACACAGCTGCAACGTGTGTCTTTCTATAAACTGAAACCCGGCATGCCAGCTCTATAGAACCTCCCTCTTCAGGAGAAGTCTACCTGCACGTTCCAAATCATGGAGCTGTAAAACAGGAGGACAATCTGCCCTGCACCCCAAACAGCAGCGGCTTCTGGCTGTTTAGAAAGGAATACTAAGTTTGAATGGAACCAAGGTTGTTTTTTCCTGATCTGATACTTAGGAGTCAGCACAGTTAATTTTAATTGTCTACTTCTATCTCTTTGTCCACAAAAAAAGGGCCATGTTTGTTCTTTTCCACCTACTTGAAAAACTCTAATCAGCTCAATGCGTCATCTTAGATTTCTGCCAGAAACCCTGAATTCAAAAAGCAGGGTTCAGAAGTGTCGTCCTTAAATCCACCCACTCCTGGAACGTCTAATTTTAATCCCTTGACCTGGCGGCCAGCATCAACCAGTTGCAATTGTTCCACTTCACATCAGATTAAGATGTGACTAAAATTAAGAGTCCCTCTCAATCCAACCTTTTAGAGTACATCCAGGTGAAGGAATACACGCGAGTCTTTTGCAAAGCAGAGAAAAAAAGCACAAGGGAAGACTTTCCCCAACTTGGTCACTGTACAGGATCTGGAGGCTGCAGCTGCATGCAACTGTCTATCCATGTTTGTAGAGTCACTGATTTCAGAATTTGGATTCTCCTGCGAAAGAACGTTGTTACAGCTTACCTAACCACCAAAGACAGTTGTCTTGAAAAATTATGGCAATTCAACACCTGCGAGAAATCCCTCTAGGCCTCTGCTGTTTGGAAAACAGCATTAAAAACAAACTTCAAAAAAAAACCCCACCCTTCTCTATTTTTCACTTTCCTTTGGCCCAAGGATTCCAGTGAGCATTAAGTTTCGGACTCTTTCCCGGTGCTACCTACAATTTGTGAGGCTCTTCAAGCCACTAAAGTGTGCAAAGGTACACACTTTGACTCTTTCAGCTCCTTGCTGCTAAGTTGTTGACAAGGACGTCCAGGTTTTTGCTGTGAGTCTCTAGCCATGGCTTGATGTGTGCGAAACCCGCAGAACCGACAGTGCTGACAGAATGTTAGAACGATTCTAGACAAGGTGTTAATGGCGACACCGCCGAGTCTCATTTGTAGATGTTGACATGGAGTCTCAACGTTAGGGTCTTCTATCAGCACATTTGTTCTCTTTTCCCACTTCTTGAGCGTCTTTTCTCAACAGGCACACACAGCACACAAGCACACAGACAAACACACACACACACACACACACGGAGAGAGAAATGCAGGTTTAAGGAGGAAAAGTCTGAATAGCTGCACGTCTGTCAACACAGAACTCCAGAAATTTGTCACCTTAAAGTATCTTGGAGTTCAAATCCCGATACAATCGTCAAAGATGAGGAAGCATTGAATTCTTGCTTCCTGCTGACTCACTTCGCAAAACGGTGGGAGTGAGGCTTTAAAACGTTCCAGCTCCCCATGGCTCTCCAATCCTGGGTCAAGACAAAGAGCCACGATCTTCAAAGAGCCGTGATCTGCGTTAGCTCTGACGTTGGCGTGGTTGGGCTCTGCTGACTGACAGGAACCATGGGGAGTTCCACGCCTAGTCATGCTGGATTGTTAGTCCCGTCGGAGTTCTTGCAGGCGTAGGCCACATCCTTGGCGATGCTACACATGCGGTTGGACATCTGAAGCTCCTTCCTGAAGGAGGACGGGAAGCAGAACTTCTTGAAGCACGTCTTGAAGTTCTCATCGAGGAACGCGTAGAGAACAGGGTTCAGACAGCTGTTGGTGTAGCCCAAGGCGGTGCAGAAGTACAAGATGGATAAACTGAGTTCATTATCGGCCTTGGCTCCAAGACTTCGGACCAGGACAAAGATATGAACAGGGGTCCAGCAGATGATGAAGACGGCCACTACAATGAGAACCAACCGAGCGATGCGCCGGAGGTTCCTGTCCTTCTCCTTTGATCCAGAGAGGACCCGGACATTTTTCAGGCGCCTGATCATGAGGCTGTAGCAGATGGTGATCACCATCACTGGGATCATGAAGGAGAAAAGAAAAATGCAGATTCCAAAAATGGGTTCCCAATAGTCCTCTGGTTCAGGAAGTCTAATGAGACAGTCAATTTCTGCAGGAGCAAAGAAACACAAGTGAATAATGTGGCTGGAAGCAATGGTGCTATTTTTTTCATGGTGTATCAACCTTTCTCATATAGCAGTCCTCAATTTACGACAGTGTTGGAAGGGACCTTGGAGGTCTTTTAGTCCAACCCCCTGCTCAAGCAGATAACCCTATAACATTTCAGACACATGGTTCTCCAATCTCTTAAAAACCTCCCATATTGGAGCACCCTCAACTTTTGAAGGCAAGTTGTCCTCGCTGTCAGGAAATTCCTCCTTAGTTCCAGGTTGCTTCTCTCCTTGATTAGATTCCATCCACTTTCCTTCTGGTGCTTTGGAGAATAGGTTGACTCCTCTTCTTTGGGGCAGCCCCTCAAATATTGCAACACTGCTATCATGTCCCCCCTCGTCCTTTTCATTAAACTAGACATACCCAATTCCGACAACCATTCTTCATATGAGCATAATTGGGACTGGAACCCCTATCACTAACTGAGTCAGTCATTAAGTGTTGTCTGATTTTACCACATCTGTTTGCCACGGGCATGAAGCATATCCAGCTTTCCCCATTGACTTTGCATATTGAAAGCTGGCTGGGAAGGTCACTAATGGAGATCACAGGACCCTAGAATGCTACAACTGTCATCAATCAATCAGAATAGAGCTGGAAGGGACTTTGGAAGTAAGACTAGACTAGACTAGACTAGACTAGGCTAGGCTAGGCTAGGCTAGGCTAGGATAGGATAGGATAGGATAGGATAGGATAGGATAGGATAGGAGTTGGAAGGGACATTGGAGGTCATCTAGTCCAACCCCCTGCTCAGGCAGGAAACCCTATACCATTTCGGACAAATGACTGTCCAGTCTCTTCTTAAAAACCTCCCGTGTTGGAGCATTCACAGCTTGTGGAGGCAGGTTGTTCTGCTGGTTTATTGTTCTAACTGTCAGGAAATTTCTCCTTAGTTCCAGGTTGCTTCTCTCCTTGATGAGTTTCCATCCGTTGCTTCTTGTCCTGCCTTCAGGCCCTTTGGAGAATAGCTTGACTCCCTCTTTTTTGGGGCAGCCCCTGAGATATTGGAAGATGGCTATCATGTCCCCCCTTGTCCTTTTCTACATTAAACTAGACATACCCAATTCTAGCAACCGTTCCTTGTATGTTTTAGCCTCCGGTGCCCTGATCATCTTTGTTGCTCTTCTCTGCACTCTTTCTAGAGTCTCAACATCTTTTTTACAATGTGGTGACCAAAACCGGATGCAGTATTCCATGTGTGGCCTTACCAAGGCGTTATAAAATGGCATTAACACCCCATGTGATCTTGATTTCATCCCTTTGCTAATGGCAGGAAGATTCTCTAATTGGAATCATCAGGATCTCCATCAGCAACTTCACAATCACCATTCCTTCGACAGGAAAACTCACTGCTCTGTGAATTGGACCTTGAGCTGTTTCTATTTTCTGATGATGGTTAGTTGACCTCTAAAGAAAACAATGCGTTAGATAAAATGCCTAATAATTTGGCACGAGAGTCTGAGCAATATGTTATAAAGCAGGGGTCTTCAAACTTGGCCCTTTTATGACTTGTGGATTTCAACTCCCAGAATTCCTCAGCCATGTGCCTGGCTGAGGAATTCTGGGAGTTGAAGTCCACAAGTCATAAAAGGGCCAAGTTTGAAGACCCCTGTTATAAAGTTACAGAATAACAGATTTGGGAGGCCAAGACGCACCTCCGGAATATGCAATTAGGCATTAACAAGATTCTGTTGAGAATATTACGGGATGCTATGAACTGTTACATGGTACCTATGCAGTGACTGAGCATGCTCATGAGATGCTTGATGACTTAAATGATCTGCCGTCATTGGACAACACATCCTAAAGCCAGTGATGTCTGAACTGTATACACAGATAGTCCTTGACTTACAACCGTTCATTTAGTGACCCTTTGAAGTTGCCAGGGCACTGAAAAAGTGACTTGCAACGGTTTTTCACACTTACGACCACTTCAGCATCCCCAGGGTCACGTGATCCAAACTTGGAAGCATGGATTTATGATGGTTGCAGGGTCCTAGCGGGGGGGGGGGTGTCATGTGATTGATCAATTGTTGTGACTTTTTGACAGGCAAAGTGAATGGGGCAGCAATGCAGGTAGTCCTCGACTTACAACAGTTGGTTCGGTGACCGTTTGAAGTTACAATAACACCGAAAAAGTGACTTATGATCCAGTGGTGGGATTCAAATAAGTGAACAACCGGTTCTCTGCGTGGATGCCACTTCCAGAAGTCCATTCTGGGCCTGGGCAACAAAAAATTAGCTACCGGTTCTGCCGAAGTGGAGCGAACCTATTGAATCCTACCATGGTTATGACCGTTTTTCACACTTACGACCGTTGCAGCATCCCTCATGCTCACGTGATGAAAATTCAGATGACTGGCAACTGATTCGTATTTATGACGGTTGCAACGTCCCAGTGTGTGTGTGTGTGTGTGTGTGTGTGCCGCGATCTCCTTTTGCGACATGCAAAGTCAATGGGGGAAGCTGGATTCACTTAACAACCGTGATACTAACTTAACAAGTGCAGCAATTCACTGAACAACCGTGACAAGAAAGGTCGTAAAGTGGGATAAAAACTCACTTGACACATGTCTCACTTAGCGACATTATGTTTGAGCTCCATTGTGGTCCTTAAGCGAGGATTACCTGTACTCAGTGATGGGATTCAGCCGGTTTGCACCGCTTCAGCAGAACCGGTAGCTACTTTTTTGCTACCCAGGCCCAGAATGGACTTCCGGAAGTGGCATCCATGCAGAGAACCGGTTGTTCCCCTATTTGAATACCATCCCTGACCTATACTGCATAGAAAAGAACAGAATAGTCAAGGACTCTCTGGAGCATGACTTCCATCCCTGTATCAGATGTTGGGACACCAGTGTGCAAAGGCAGGGTTTGTGCAAGGACAATTATGACAAACGTGTCATCACGTTGGATATCTGTGCCTTGCAGCAGATGTCAACGGCCCTCCGGAGGCCTCGTCTGCTGTATGGGGACGATGTTTAGCTAATGTCCTAGCTGAGGCTTAATCCTTCGGCTTTTATCTACCAAGCTTTGGGCTTTAACACAGCACCAAGATCCATATCCCCTCTGCCTCCGTTCTGCAAAATTTCCTGGAAACCTGAGTGATATGTCAAGGGTGCTGTTAACACGGCAGGCAAAGCCACCTAAGCTCAGGATTAGTCAGAGCTATTTCACACACGGGGCAGTTAGGAAAGGAATCGTGGCCCCTGCGTGTTTTCCAGACAGGCAGGCAGGCAATTGGAAGAAGGATGCTTGAAGGAAGGAAAGAGATGGGGGGAGGGGGAAGGGAGGGAGGGAGAGGAAGGGAGGGAGGGAGGAAATGGGACGGAAGGAAGGAGATGGAAAAAGGAAAGAGATGGGAAGAGAGGAAGGAAGGAAGGAAGGAAGGAAGGAAAGAAGGAAGGAAATGGGATGGAAGAAAGGAGATGGAAGAATAAAAGAAATAGGAATAGAAAGAAAAGGAAGGAAGGAAGGAAGGAAGGAAGGAAGGAAGGAAGGAAGGAAGGAAGGAAGGAAGGAAGGAAATGGGATGGAAAGAAGATGAAAGAAGGAAGGAGATGGTAAGAGTGGAAAGAAGGAAGGAAGGAAGGAAATGGTAGAAGGAAGGAAAAAGTAGGAGGAAGGAAGGAGATGTGAAGGAAAAAATGATGGAAATGGAATGGAAGGATGGAACTGGGAAGGAAGGAAAGAAATGGGACAGAAGGAAAGAGATGGTGAAGGAAGGAAGGAAGGAAGGAAGGAAGGAAGGAAGGAAGGAAGGAAATGGGACAGAAAGAAGGAGATGGGAAGAGTGGAAAGAAGGAAGGAAGGAAGGAAATGGTAGAAGGAAAGAAAAAGTAGGAGGAAGAAGGAAGGAAGGGGATGTGAAGGAAAAAATGATGGAAATGGAATGGAAGGATGGAAATGGGAAGGAAGGAAGGAAGGAAGGAAGGAAGGAAGGAAGGAAAGAAGGAAGGAAGGAAGGAAGGAAGGAAGGAAGGAAGGAAGGAAGGAAGGAAGGAAGGAAGGAAGGAAGGAAGGAATTTTCTTTGTATCTTTTCCATCCGACAACTGAGCTACGATTGAAAAACGTTTCCCTATTTTACATCCGGTGTCTTAGGCACAGCTGGGGAAACTGGACTAGATTCACAGTTTTTTTTTAAAAAATGTTTAGATTAAAGACAGCCCACCCAACCCTTCTCCATGTCATGTTTCTCACCGTCATTTTCTCTCTCCGTGGAGCCCATCACCATAACTGGGATGCCAAAGACAGAAGCTAATGCCCAGATGGCGACGTTGACCACTTTGGCCTTGTGAGGGGTACGGATGTCCAGGGCCTTGATGGGATGGCAGATGGCGATGTAGCGGTCCACGCTCATCATGGTCAGGGTGAAGGTGCTGGTGAACATGTTGTAGTAGTCAATGGAGATGGCAATCTTGCAGAGGGCATTTCCAAAGGGCCAGGAGCCCATGAAGGTATCCGTGCCTTGGAAAGGTAAGGTCATGAGGCACAAGGTGTCAGCTAAGGCCAGGTTGAAGATGTAGATGTTGGTGGCCGTCTTCATCTTGGTGAATCTACAGAGCAAGGAAGAAACACAAAGAAGAAGAAACTGAAAGTGACTGTGCTCCACATCCAATCTTTGGGGTGGGGGTGGGGACATTTTCCAGCATTTCCAAATTCCACTCCTTCAAAACTGGCTTCTTTTAGGACAGAATAACAGAAAAGATCCTGGAGGTCATCTAGTCCAACCCCCTGCTCAAGCAGGAAACCCTATACAATTCCAGACAAATGGCTGTCGGATCTCCTGTGAAAAACCTCCAGTGTTTGAAGGACAATGAAATACCAAGTCATGTATTGATCAAAAAAGAGGAGGAGGAGGAGGAGGAGGAGAAGGAGGAGGAGGAGGAGGAGGAGGAGGAGGAGGAGGAGGAGGAGGAGGAAAATTGAGCTCAGTTGTTTTCTTGAACACATTTCATGACCAAACTATGTAACATCATCAGTGCTAGGAGTTGGGTTTGCTCTCTGTTTATATACAAGTTTCTATACAAGTAGCTTGGCCTGTAGGTATGTGTTGGTGGGATTAATTGATTGATTGATTGATTTTCTAACTGCCCATCTCACATATGTGATTCTGGGCAGCTTACAAGGTTAGAAAAAAGAACGAAAATATTTAAAAATATTTCTGAGCAGGAACTGGACGAAATAATAATATATGGCATATAATATTTCCCCCCCCCCTTCTAACATGGTACTTGTTATTCCCCATAACATATTTTACAGACCACAGCCAATAGATTTATGCCACTGAGAATAGACTTCCGTTTCCAATGAAAGCTTTCTTAATTGTCCAGATTGAGCATTTCTGCATAATGACACATTAAACCGAATATCTTAACTACGGCTTTGCGAAAACATCATTTCTCACTGTTTGCCAGACTGTTTCCAAATGACTAACAAGCCGCAGCTAAAAGTGGAAGGACAAAGAGGATACAGGGTGAACCGTATCCCGGTTGCCTTTGTCTGCCACCTGCCCCAAATAATTATGATGACGATGGACCCGTGTCCTTTATCTCTTTGCAAGAATTGCAGAAAGTCACAGCAAAGCAAGCTGATTATTCAACCCGGATACATCCACAGTGAATGGATCGACACTCAGTTTATAATGAGCAGGATTCCAGTTCTCTTCTTCTGACTATATAGGTAGTCCTTGACTTACAATCATTTCACTTAGCAACTATTGGAAGGTATGACAGGCATTTCCTGGGTGCTTATTCCTAGTTCGGAAGTTTTGATGGCTATTCCTGCAGTCACGTGATCACATTTTGCGTGCTGGGCAAACCGGTTTGCATTTATAAGTTGCTTGCAGCCATCTTGAAATCACGTGACCCATGTTTTATGACATTTTGGCAGAAAGCCAGCATTAACTTCCAGTTTTTGGCAAAAGCACCACGGAAAACAATTGGTTTGCTAAAACGCCTCAGGGTTCGCTTAACAGCCACTGGGGGAGGGAGGGGAAGGTTATAAAATCAGATTAGTTGCTTGTGTGTTCCATTTTTATGCCTTGTGTCTAGTTTAATGAAGAGAAGGACAAGGGGGGACAGGATAGCAGTGATCCAATATCTCAGGGGCTGCCCCAAAGAAGAGGGAGTCAAGCTATTCTCCAAAGCGCCTGAAGGCAGGACAAGAAGCAACGGATGGAAACTCATCAAGGAGAGAAGCAACCTAGAACTAAGGAGAAACTTCCTGACAGTGAGAACAATTAACCAGTGGAACAACCTGCCTCCAAAAGTTGTGAATGCTCCAACACTGGAAGTTCTGAAATGGTGTAGGGTTCCTGCCTGAGCAGGGGGTTGGACTCGATGACCTCCAAAGTCCCTTCCAACTTTATTATTATTATTATTATTATTATTATTATTATTATTATTATTATTATTATTATTATTATGGTGGATCATCGCACAGTCAGCCAGATGTTCAGACTGGATTTGGCATTTTGTCTACCTATCGAGTCCTTACCCAGGACCTGGGATAGGCAGATGTGGATGTTTGATTGTATTACAGATATCGTCGCAGGATGGAAGCAGTTCCTAGTAAGGCCGCCTTTTGCAATTGATTAATAGCGAATTTGTCAATGCCAATGGTGTTCAAGTGGTGCTCCAGTTGTTTTGGGATTGCACCCAAGGAGCCTATTACGATTGGTACTACCCTTGCTTGCTTTTGCCACAGTCTTTCTATTTCTATTTGTAGGTCTTTGTATTTTGTTATCTTCTCCAGTTCTTTCTCTTCTATTCTGCTATCTCCAGGCACTGCCACGTCCACTATCCATACTTTTTTGTCTTTCTTATCGACAATTGTTAAGTCTGGGGTGTTATGTTGCAGGTGCTTGTCTGTTTGAATTCTGAAGTCCCAGAGCAGTTTAATTTTATCATTTTCTCTGACTTTCTCTATTTTATGATCCCACCAGTTTTTGCTTACAGGCAAATGATATTTTTTGCAGATCTTCCAATGCACCATTGTTGCTACTTTGTCATGCCGCTGCTTGTAATCAGTCTGTGCAATCTTCTTGCAACAGCTTACCACGTGGTCCACTGTTTCTTCAGCTTCTTTGCATATGCGGCACTTACTGTCTGTTGCTGTCTTCTCAATTTTGACTTTGTATGCATTTGTCCTTAAGGCTTGGTCTTGTGCAGCCAGAATTAGTCCCTCGGTCTCTTTCTTCAATTTTCCTGCTCTTAGCCATTGCCAGGTTTTATTATTATCTGCTTTCCCAGCTATTTTTTTTTCATGTATTGGCCATGTAGTGCTTTGTCTTCCCATGCCTCTATTCTGTTCTTCATTTGGTCTTTTTTGTAGGCCAGTTTGGTCTCTCCAGTAGTTAGTAAGCCTTCCTGATATACTAATTTCAGTGCATTTTCATCATTGTTCTTCAGATATTCTTCCAAAGCCATTTTTTCTTCTTCAACCATCTGATGTACTTGTAGCATTCCACGCCCACCTATTTGCCTTGGTAGATAAAGTCTATCAATGTCACTTCGTGGATGAAGGGCATGATTCATTGTCATTATTTTTCTGGTCTGCCTATCCAGTGCTTTTAGTTCTGCTTGAGTCCAGTCCACTATTCCAGCTGTGTACCTAATGACTGGGATTGCCCAGGTGTTGATTGCCTTTATGGTATTTCCTCCATTGAGTTTGGACTTTAAGATCTTCTTCACTCTCTTGATGTCTTCACCTCTAATCTTTTTCTTGACTTCAGTGTGCTTGATGTTGTCAGCTTGAAGAATACCCAAGTATTTGTAGTAATCTTCCTCATCTAGACTCTTAATGTTATTTTTGTGGGGCATCTTGATTCCTTCAGTTTTCACTATTTTTCCTTGTTTGATAGTAAGTGTGGCACATTTGTCCAAGCCAAACTCCATTACAATATCTTGACTATATATACGGACAGTGTTGAGCAGCGATTCTATTTCAGATGATGTTTTCCCATACAGCTTCAGATCATCCATGTAAAGGAGGTGGGATAGTCTGGCAGATGTTTTTGATGTTTGATAGCCATGTCCTGAGTTATTCAGTATTGTTTACAGAGGAAACAGTGCAATGACAAATAGTAATGGTGATAATGAATCTCCTTGAAATATTCCTCTCTTGATATTAACCTCTCCCAGCCTCTCACCATTGATCTGCAACTGTGTCTTCCATTGTGCCATCGATCTTTGCACAAATTTTCTGATGTTTCTACTGACTCCTGTTATTTCTATGCACTTTATTATCCAATCATGTGGCAGAGAGTCAAATGCCTTTTTGTAGTCAATCCATGCCACATTCAGGTTGGTCTTCCTTCTCTTGCAGTTTTTCCAAGATCATTTTGTCTATTAGGAGTTGATCTTTTGTTCCTCTGCTGTTGGGGCGGTTTCCTTTCTGCTCAGGTGGAAAGAGATTGTTTTCAACTAGATGCTGTTGTACTGCATCAGCTATCACACCAGTTAGTAATTTGAAAGTTGTTGGTAAGCAGGTAATTGGCCTGTAGTTACCAGGTGTTGCCCCTTTTGCTGGATTTTTCATTATTAGGTAGGTTTTCCCAGTTGTTAGCCACTTTTCAAGTTCTCCTCCTTGTAGTACATTGTTGAACTGCTTGGCAATGAGTGGGTGTATAACAGTTAGATGTTTCAACCAAAACCCATGCAGTTCATCTTCACCTGGTGCTGACCAATTTTTGATTTTCCTTGCTCTTTTTTCTCCCATTTTTGTTGTTATTACTAGTTTTTTCATTTCAACTTCTGTTTTATTTGCATCCACCTCTTTTAACCAAACCGCATCCTTGTTGTATTTCTTTGGGTTATCCCATATCTGCTTCCAGAACTGCACTGTTTCTTTCTTGTCAGGTACTGACTGATTCCTTGCAGTTTCTCCATTGATGGATTGGTAGAAACGTTTCTGATTGGATTGAAATTGGAGGTTCTGCCTATAGTTTGCAATTCGAGCTTCATATCTACTGCTTTTCCTGGCTATAGCTGTTATTTGTTGCTTTATTATTTCCAGTGCTTCCTTGATCTTCCTTGTTTCTAAGTGGTATTTCTTGATTAGATATTCTTTGGTCTTCTTGTTCTTCAGCTTCTTTTCTTTCATCTGTTCTAGCTTGCTTGCATGTGATCTTAACTTGATGATCTTATTTTCTATTCTAACCTTCCATTTTTCTGGTGCACTGTTTGTTTGTTTTTCTTCTTTGTTGATTTTGCATCCCAGGTATTCAGTTATAACTGCAGCTGTGCTGTACATTAGTTGGTTTGTTTCTTGCAGTGAATTGGTGCTTATACCTGCTATTGCAGTATTTGCATCTTTTAATGCTTGTGCTAGCTGTTTCTTTGAAACAAGCTTCAATGCAGGCAGCCTTATTCTGTTGTTTTTGTGCTGTTCTAGATGCTCAGTTATTCTTTGTTTCAATTCTTTTATTTCTTTAGTTAGAAGGTTTTGTTCTTCCTGAGGTAGAGATGCCTGGTTTCCAAATGAGAACAGTTGTATATTTCTGCTAGATTCCTTCACTGCCAACTCCCCCTGGTTAGCCTCTACATTCTGAATT